GATCTCCTCGATCTCCTGAGGCAGTGACTCTTTGTCCCTGTCAGTGAGGTTGGTCTCAGCCCACTGCAGCCAGGTCAGAAGATTCTCCAGGAGCTCCTGAGTGGCTAGAAGATCTGTGAGGGCCGAGGCCAGCCGCTGTTGGTGCTGTCTGGCCCAGGCCTGCACCTGAAACAGCGGGGATACACACACCGTTAAATCTAAAAGCACTGTTTAAATAAACTTCAGTAACTCTTAATTACAACTTGACAAATCCAAACTTTCCCTGCCAGCATGCAGCTTTAAACTGACCTCCTCAAATCTGGCTTTAATGATGGTGTTCCAGTGCTTAATGGTTGTGATGGAGTCCGGATGGCAGATGCTAAGAATGGCCTCCCCCATACCGGCTGCTTTGATGAGACCCACTCGCTTCTCCTCCAACTTTTTCATGAACTCCTTAAAAGTAGTGAACGGAAAAGAGCTTTGGAACCGGATTATCTTCAGCAAACACAGCAATAAATCATTGCCAGTGCATGCCATCATATCGGAGCAATGCAGAGATATTTTAATCAGATGAAATCACGGCTAAAAAAAAACATCCAAGGCATTCTGTTTCATGCATGTAAGATGACAGGGTGGAAAGTTTGCTGTTGCAGAATCTTAACTGTTTATTCAAGTATAACAATTTAATCAAATGGGAATGCTGGAAAGTCTATTCTATGCCGGCCAAAAACTTTCACAATTTACAAATTAAAGTTTTGTTAGATGAAAAATACACAACAGTGTGGACTGCTTGCCTTATGTTGCTCAATAAGAGCCTGCAGAGCCTCCTCCTCATCGGGTAGGCTGCCATGGAAACGCAAACTCTGCTCGGCCTCAGCTAGCCACTCCAGCAGGATGTGCACAGTTGAGTGAAACTCCTCCGCCTGCAGAGAGCACACATCAGTGTCACTCAGAGTCACGTTACCTTCGGTGTGAAGACTAAAGGAGCCATGTGGGACCTGGCAGAGGGCCTGCTCCAGCCGAGTCTGCTTGGACACTGAGAGGTTGCACACCGTCTCCCAACGAGTGCCCAGCTCCTGCATCTGGACTTTCACCCAAGAGGAATCATCATGACTGCTCTCCATCAACTCCCTCGAAGAGCGTTTGAGAGCCTGAACGCTCACCGTTCGTTTTCCCATCTCCTTCTGGAAAACCTGTAGCAGCGAAGTGATGCACGTGCATGTTTAGAGATTTTATCTTTGACTATGGCAACACTGGCAACATTTCTTCATCTCTGGATGAAGAAAGCAGACTTTTATAGAGAAATGTTTTTTGTTTGAATGTGCAGACCCTATTGTTAGATTTAATACAAGTTATATTAGTTCTATGGTCGATACAAACATGTTCATGAGGTGATTTGCATTAAATCCCTCACACAGAGGAATCTCAGCAGTTTTACTCTTAACAGTTTCAGCACTTTCCAGAATGAGCCGATTCGGGGCTCTGTCACTTTAAGAAAACAAGCTGTTGCTAGCCACGCCCACCCATCCTCAGCTCAGGCTGCTATAAGCTGAGAAACTCCAATATCTGGGAGGGGCTTGGAGTAGAGCTGCTGCTCCTCCAGCAGCAGCGCTCTCCGGCACGTGAGAGGAGGTCCCATTCTACTTTTCCTGTTTGTGACATCACAAATGGGATTTTTTTAAACTACTTGTTTTAGGCATATAATTCCCAAAACCACACCCTGACAGAAAATGGATGGAAATGTTTTTCACATTTGATTGTGATTAGAGGCAGTAGAGACCCACATGGCAGAACAAAAAGGTGCAAATTTTTGAATTTGGAATTATATGACTCTTAAGGAGATTAGGGATTAAAAACTGAGAAAAAAATTGTCAATGATGCAAAAGTTCAAATGTGCTTCTGAAGTCAGGTTTTGACAAATCAGCAAACATTATTAACTGACTGGCACACAAAGACCTACCTTGTGGTTGTCTATCAGGTTAAGAACCAGATCTATGTCTCCATGTACAGGCTGGTCCTCAGCCAGCTGAGGTTCCACTTTATACAGCCAGTCAATGAGAGCCTGGAGGGCATCTGTAAACTGACCAGAGAACAGCAGAGCCTCCTCTAGCTTGTTTTGCCTGCAGGTGAAACAAAAGCATTCGATACTTCATCTGACTGCAAGCTGGAGGGATTAAAGAAAAGATAGAATAAAGCTGCATCCCCACCTTTCTACGGATTTTCCACAAACGGTGTCCCATTTGTCCCTCAGTTCGCTCAGCATGTCGTTCAGTTTCTGATTATCATCCTGAAGGGCGGTCTTGTCTTTCAATGCTCGCCCCGTTCGAGCGGTCGTGTCGTACACGGAGTGTTTGCTTCCCAAAGCTTTCTGGAACTCCTGCATCAAACCAAAAAAACTCACAATTAGTCATAAAAGCTGACAGTCATCAGGTTTAGTGGACTGATGCAAGTTTGTAGATGTACATGAAAACAGATTTACCTCCTACTAGTGATGGAATGTCAAATTTAATTCTAATCTGTGTGTTTTCACTAAGAAGGAGGATTTTTGGGAGGGGAACACAAAAGGAGGTCAAATTTCACCAGTCGCTCTGCTGAGATTATAAGTATCCAATCCCTAATACATTTGGGCTCTCCCGGAATTATGACAGGATTAGCCTGATCTCACCACATAACACCCAAATAGAAGAACGGAGGGTAACAAAGGGAAAAAAGTGTCAATTTTATTGATAAGTGGGATTTTTTTATGTTTAGATTTAACCGTTAAACTTTCACATACACAAAATGAAAATGTCCTCATTGATTATGAAAGTTTCATGTAGGTTCTGACAGATGAAACTTTTACAAACGAAGCTAAAATGAATGGTCACCTTGTGTTGTGCCAGTTGCATCTTGATTTTGTCCGGTTCATTGGCGATTTCCACTTCAGAGTCCAGAGTTTTCTCCGATTCCTCCAACCACTCCATGAGTTTGTTAAAGGTTTCATGAAACTAGAGAAAAAGTAAATAAAAATAATAATAACGTGATTCAACATGATTCATCACCATGTTCTGCTTTATGTTATACGGTTAAACATCCCCGCTTAATGAAAAGAAGCAGCGCACGTTAATGAAGCTACAAACAGGTCGAATGTACTGAGCTTTCCAATGATAATAAAAGCCCTGATGGCGGTGAAACAAGCCCGTACTGGACGCTGCAGAAATACGCACAAACCAGTACCTGTTTAGCCCTCTTTCTGGCATCGTCCAGGAGGCGCCCTCGCTCCACAGACCTCTGCACCAGCTTCTCCCAGCGGCCCTGCACGCTCAGCAGAAGGTTCTTGATCAGCACCACATCCTGTTTCTGGCTGAAGTACTTTAGATGTGTCCCCGTCTTGTCCAGATCAATGATGTGCTCTCTGTGGGAGTTCACCTCCGTCACAAACATCTGCAGAGAGTGAGAAGAAATTTAATCAAAGCGGAATAAAGATTGTTGAGTTAAAGTGACACGATGCAGTGTTTTACTCTTTAACCAATTTCTTAAAAACTGGGGTTCAGCGATTGTGTTGGTAGAAACTTTACCAACTTCACATGGGACACAATGGGCAGAGAAGCTTAAAACTGTTTAGTGTTACTTTAAAGATGCCATATAATAGAAAATCTACTTCTTTGAGCTTTTTACCAGGCGATATTGTTATTTCCTCAACAAAAATACCCCCAAACCCATATTTGGCTGCATTCGTGCATTTTCCCGTCTCAGCTGCAAGTTTTCAGATTTTTTGGAAAAGCCTCAATGGAAACTAAGTGTGTCATCAGGCCTTGCTCCTCCCCCTGAAGCTAGTCTCGGACCTGGAACCCGCCTCCCCGGGAAGTCACTAATGCCACCTTTCTTCAAGTTGTGGGAATAAATCGGTTGATTTCATGCTGCAATTCTTTAAACCTCCACCGGTAACAGAGTGGACATTCTGACAAATGACTTCTGTAATGGGGGCAAAACGCCGTCCTAAAAACCACACGTCCTATCCACAAAGATGCACGTGATGGCCCGCACAGGACATGTGAGTTTGGCGACTGATGTTTCGTAACAGACTTGGTGGCTCGGTGGTTAGAACACCTGCTGTGCTGCTTTGTTATGACCTTACACCGGTTCAACTGCTGGTCTCATTAGTGACATTTTTCTTCTGTTTCAGCTGCACATGCCAGTATGATGTTTTCAACCCTTTATTGGTAAACTGTTTAAAATATAAGGACTAATCTTTTCTTTTTTAGTTTCTTTATTTTGCTGGAGTGTGAGCTGAGCAAAGTAAATCAACTAAAATGCTACGTGGAAATGACCAAAATCTTTAGAGACACAAAATATTTTGCTGAAAAAAAAAATCTATAAAACAAAAACATGAAAAAATTAAGAAATCTGCTTCAGCTGGCTAGATTAATTATTGCCGACACCAGGAATCGAGTCTGCTTCGGGACATGGCAAAACAAGACGAAAAGCAGATGCTTTAACCCAGGGGTGTCCAATCCTGGTCCTGGAGGGCCGCTATTTAGCATGTTTTAGTTGTTTCTCTGCTCCAGCATGCTTGATTCAGTGGATGAAGCAGCAGCTCATCTGGCTCTGCAGAGACCTGCTGATTTAAGTCAGGTGTGTTGAAACAGGGTTAAAACTAAAACATGCTGGATACCGGCCCTGTGGGACCAGGATTGGGAACCTGGTGAACCGCCAATCTCTATACAACCGTTATATAGCCTAATATGTTGCTGTAGACACGTTTTCTCAGAGTTGGTGCAGGTGGAGCTTCACTGAAACAGTTTCTTTTGTGGTTACAAATTCAGTCTGATGAAAATAACTCACATTTAAGATAAATGCCATCATGCCAACAGTAATATACACCGTGCCTACCTTTGCTTTCAACGATTTTAAATAGCATGATAAGACTCCTTTAACAGCAGCAGTAACACAATTAAATAAAACAACTGGAATTGCTAATAATATTCATTTTCACTAATTACATGATAAATTGGGCTAAAACTATTAAATAAAAAAATAAATAGAAGAACAAGAAAAAAAAACTTTTTATCTGAGAAAACACTATCACAAATCATCCAAATCCCCAGTTTTTAATCAAGTCTGCACAGTCATATCCATCAGTGAATTACCTTATGCTCATCGATCTGAAACATGATGGTCTCCAGGATGAGGGAGGCGGGCGACACTGTGTTCAGCGTTTGCTCTGCTTGGGTCAGCCAGACAATAAAGTCCTGAAGGGAATTGTGGAAATCCACGGCTAGGATTAAAGCTTCCTCCAGTTTGGCCTGCAGACACAAACCAAAGGAAAGCATTGACTTTTATTTCTAATAAATATTATCCAGAACAATCCTGTATTTCACTCATAGCTCACGGATAAGTGATGCAGCTTTCCCTGTTTAAACACCAAAGGGGTAGCATTTCTGGGAAGTTAATGGTGAAGGGGAAAGACAAATATGGAAGCACGAAAAGAAAAAGATTTGTTTAAGAAAAAAGAAAGGTTCCAGAATTTCTGGAAATAAAAGCAAGTTCAAGAGGATGCTAAAGAAAATGTTTTTATTAAAACTGAAAAACAGAATGAGGAGTAGAGGTGGACTATTACCGACGTCATTTAGACCATGTTGATTGATGTATTGGGTATTTAGATTGGTGATGCTCATGTACCTTTAAGACACCCTAAAGCCCAGTTGGGTTGGAGGCACATGACAATGTGAAGTCACATGACTCCACCCAAACCGATCTGTAACAATAAGGGAAAGACCGTGAGGAAATGAAGGATAATTCAGACGTTGGAATAGCGGGCAGCGGCCGGCAATGGAGGCTTGCGGCGTTGACTGGAACTAAAATTTACCCAAATGGTTGATTAAGCAATTGTTCACAACAAGCTTATCTTCTAACAGATCTACCACCATCACTCTCGATCACTGCTGCAGACTTCAGTCGGCCGCTACCAGCTACTGCTAGATGCAGCAAAAAATATTGTAGCAACAAGTCAGCGTAACACAGCCCCATCTAGTGGACAACCCTTTGTATCCGCGTGTTGGGTGGTTATCGTCCATTTCTCCTTATTGAAGTGAACTGATCCAAATATTGAGATATTGATTGGAGCCCTGCCCTGACGAGGAGCTCCATTTTAGTGTGACATTTACAGGATAATGTTTTATTTTGACAAGAGAATAAAGAAAATGCCTTGAGTGTCTGTTTCCATCTTTAATTTGACAGATTTGTGAGATCTTTGCTAAGAAAACAGCTGTTCCACTGAGGAACCACATCCTGTGTGTCACTGCCAACGCTTACACCAGTCATCATCAGCACTGAGATTAAAGGCTTTCAGCTGCCTTGTCATGACTCAAGTGTATGTCAGCGAGCTCCCAAGGGGACTTGAAGAGGTGACTCACGAGCTGAGGAGCGGCGAAAGCCACACAGCGACCCGTCCTACCTTTCTCTCAGTGACCTTTGCATGCACGGCTTCCCATTTCTCCCTCAGGTTGGCGAGGTCCTGCTCCGTGTTGCTGTCTGGACCCTCGGGGCTCGTGGCGAGCAGCTGGCAACCCTTGTTCAGCAGCTCCTGATACAGCTCCTCCTTAGCCTCAAAGGCAGAACACACCTCCTGTAAAGATAATAAAACACAAAAGCATGAGGAAAGTTATGTTTATGTGAGTGAGACTGCAAGCTTCAAGAGTTCATTTAGTCAATCCGCGTTTCTTCCAAAAATGGTAAAAGAACAAGCGCAGCAACAACGTCCAAAACAAGATTTTCCCCTGATTATTTAAACTGTTTAATGTTTCCAATTTGATAAAAGTTATTGCTTTTTGTTTTTAGTTTTATTAAACGCCACCACTGGTGTTACTGAAGCCAACAAGAAAGGAGAAAAACCATCCTAAATCCATTATAGTCCATTTTAATCAATCTGAAACACTTGAAATGCTTTTTTTCCCCCAGTTTATTTTTGGTTTGACGTGTGAAGTGTGTTTTGCAGCATCTTTTAATTTCCACACTTTGGATAAAACAGAGAAAAGACACGGGCCCCTCCTGGCCAGCCTGCCATCTGTGTGCAGCCTTTCATATTGTTAAACACATACCAGATGGGCGTTAAGCTGCTCCCGAGCCGTGTCTGGTAAGCCTCCCACAGCCTTTGATGCCAACAGCTGACGTTCTGTGTCTTTCAGCCATTGCTGCATATCTTCTATCTCACCATGGAAACCTTGGGCCTACAACACAATACAACCTGAGTCAGGACACAAAGTGTCTCACACACACACACACACACAGTTGGAAACTCGAGACCCGCTGAGGAGCTTGACTGAGTTATTAAATGCCTGGGCTCATTTCTGTAAAAGCACGGCCATTGATGAATTCTGGGCTTTTTAAAGAAAAGAAGGGCATGATCTATGATTGTTGTCATCTTTTAGATTTGAATTGTTTTATACTAATTATCTTAAATGCTGTGCACACAAATCCAATAAAACCTGAAATGTGTGTTTTTTCAATAAACGATCCAGGAGAAAGTGCAGCTTCTGATTTTCCTTGCTCGTATCGCAACACCTCCTCTTCCCCTTCAAATGTCAAAGTTATGAATAGAACGTCCCCAGGATCCAATATGAATGAGGAAGTGTGGGAGTAATCCCTCATCTCAACACAACTTTATGACTTTGACATTTGTTCCCTTGGCAGAAATGAACGAGTCACACTATATTAAGCAGAAACTAATAATGCTGGTGTTTTAAGTTTTCGTGGCGGAAACACTTAAACCTGAAGCAGAGAAGATTCCAGCTGTTGCTTCCTCTGCTCCGTCTTCTCCTGGATGGCTTTCCACCTCTGGTTCAGATTCTCCATTTTGCTCTTCAGACTGGAAGCTTCCTCTCCAGCGCTCGACTCCACCAACTCTTTTCCAGCTTTGTTCACAGTTTCTACTGTTGACTTGTGAGCCAACACGTCTATCTGGAGGACCTGTAAAGAAAAAAGTTCCTTTTAGAACACTTTTGTTATCTGTTTATGTTGTGAGAATAAACGAGACGCGTTTACGTACAACATTTTCATTTCCTGAAACTACTTTATTTGAAAAATAACAAAAACAAATATTCTGTCGTACGTGGTGCTTGGCGAGCTCGATCTCGATGGCTTTGGGATCTCCTGCAGCTTTTCTCTGCTCGTTGAGCAGCTCCTCAGTGTGGCTCATCCAGGCCAGGAGCTCATCCAGTGCATGCTGGAACTGGCCCAGAGCCAGGAGGCCTCCCTCTAGTTTGTGCTGGATTAGTAATAGATTGACCCATTAGAAGAAAAAAAACAATCAGAAAAAGCACATACAACGTGATCACCAGTCTGCTGAAACTGTTTTATTTGCTTAAACGGTCATGGAAAATTCACTTTTAGGACCTTTACCACGTAATATTGCTATTTCCCAAACAATGACCCATGTTTGGCTGCATTTTTGTCGTGATTTGGCGCTATATAAATAAACTTGAATTGAATTGAATTGAATTTATGCATTTTCCTGTTTCAGCTGCAAATTTTAAGGTTTACTTTGAAAATCTTGTAAGGTGTCAATAGAAGCTAGTCTTCCAAACATGTCGTGCTCCTCTCCTGGAAGCTAGTCTCTGGCCTGAAACCTGTCTCCCCTGGCCAGCACTGGACATGAGGCTTCGGCAACAGCTGTAGCAGACTTGGTGGTGCAGTGGTTGGAGTGCTGAGCTGGCATGCAGTTATGCACAGGTTCACATTCCAGTCATACCAATTTAAAAAGTAAGGGCTATCTGTTTTGGAGGGTTTTTTGGTTTTCTTTGTTTATTTAGCCAGTGTGAGTCTGTGTGAGGTGAGTTGAGTAATCAGCTAAAATGCTGCTTAGAAACGACCAAATTCAAAGATCTTTGGAGACACAAAATATTTTGGAGAACATAATCAATATAACTAAAATATAAAAACGTGAAATGGCTAAATAAACGACTGCAGACATCGGGAGTCGAACCGACGTCAGAACATGGCAAAACTGAGATTACCACTGCACCGTCAGGGCCAATAAAGCAACTGACTGGCCTAAGATGCTGTTGTAGGCACATTTTGTCAGAGCGGGTGTGGGCGAAATTTCACTGAAACAAAACCTTTTATTTCCGGGTATAAATTCAGACTGATGAAATTAACTCGTATTTAAGATAAATGACATCTCAATAGTGCCCATGGTAATATTTTATCACATGCTGTGCCGACCTTTGCTCTCAAATGTTTAAAATAGCATGATATGAAACCTTTAAACCTTTTAATTTTGATGATTTTTTTTTATTTTAAATGCTAAAAATCAGTTTCTTAAATCTTGAAATTCAACACGTCGGTGGCTTGTTTCTCTTCTCTGACCTGCCGGCTGATGATCTTCTCATCCAGGTTGTCCCAAAGCATCTTAAGCTCAGCCATCGGCTCCTGGATGGCACAGAGGTCCGCCTCCTCCGTCACCTTCTTCAGCAGGAGGCCGGCTTGATGGTTAAGACGCTCCATCTTGATCTGTAGCTGGTACGCTTCTCCTTTGTACTCCTGAAAAAGCAGAACAGGCCGCCGTATACACCCAATCAGTCAACAAAAGTTTTACAGACAATTGAAAGAAAGTATTTGTCTCATCAAAGGTTTACTTTGTGAAGTTTTTGTACTCAGACAAGAACACAAACACAGCTGCTGTTTGATTTATCTGCTTCATCAGCAAACACAAAGAGCTGAATTCATGACCCAGACCAGAAGCTGCTTTTAGCTTTTACAACAGCAGCAACGACCAACACGGTACCTTGAGTTCTACAATCTGCTGCTTGACCGTCTCTAAATCTGTGCCAACGGGTGACATCGAATCCAGTTTGTTCTCCATGATATCCACCCAGTCAAACATGCCCTGTGGGAAAAATGGGAAGCCATTGTTACTGTGAGACAACAAAGCTTGGCAAACAGAGTCAAGTTTCACTTGTCTCACTCTGTGCACTAAATCTAACAGCTGATCCGCACACCTGAAAAAGCAGGTTAACACCCGCAATAAAACAACATAGAAACATGCCTAAAAGTGTAGATTTCTTTTCAACAATAACACATTTCATAGGAACTTTACAAATGAGTTAAAGCTTTATAGCGCCAGACTGTAGTTGGCGTGTATTGTTTCTAAATTAAGACGACTCTTGTAAAAGTTCATATCACCCAAATCAGTACTTATGTGTTTAATTGTACAAGACAAAAATATGGTGGCATGGACAAGTGAATTTGTAGTTTATTAGAAGAATGGACAACAGGGTGTCTAACAGGTAACACGGGTATCAAGTTTTGGAAGTTCACAGCCAGAGATGCCCGCAAGGGGTGGCCAAGGAGGGGCCAAGGCCACCCCTGGAAAGTTGCTGCTAACCCTCCCACCCTTGAGAGAACCCCCACAAATAATATTCATGTTCACACAAAAAGTATATTCATCTTCTTTACTCAAGATACACATGGATACATTTATCTCTTGAGCAAATAAATCACAATTAAAATTATTGTTAATACGTGAATTAACTGTTCTAAAATGCAAAAACAATACATTAAAATAAACGTTTGAACTGTTTCTCAAATTTGAGGTTAATGTATTTGACGCATGATGTTTTTTTTTAAGAGAAAAAGAATAAAGGAGCATGTAAAGCATAGCCACAAGCTAAACGCTCCCAGAGTGACCATGAGGACCAAATTGGTACACCCCCCCCCAAATTTTCACCCCCCCGGTGAAAATTTTCCAGGGGCACCACTGTTCATAGCCAAAGCATGTTCTGTTTTCTTTTGTTTTCTTGGAGACATGATCTAGGTACCTGAAGGCCATCTTGAAACAGAACAGCAGCCTGCATAGCCTCCTCCAGTTGCTCTACTCTTTCCTTCCAGGTCTTGTTGAGATTTTCCCACGCTGAAATCACCTGGAAACAAAATTATATCTACAAGTTAGTGACAAAATCTAAACACACAACTGCTCAACAGAGTGCAATTGTAAATAAATGTCTGTTTACGGTAATCTGTTACCTCATCAACACTTTTCTTTATCACAGGTTTATCAGGTTCCCCACAGGCCGCCATAAGCTCTGCACCCTGGTTCTGAACCGCATCAAGCTCTTCCTGCAGCCCATCGATTTCCTCCTTAAATCCCTGTAAATATTAAAATGCTTAGTTTCTGCAAAATGTTTCTTTCAGGAAATTATAGATATTCACTCCACCTCAACAAACTCCTGCTGCTGCTTGACAACAGAAGGGTCGACTCCGGGCTCCTCCAGCTCCCTCAGGAGGTCCTGACTGTCTTTGACAGTGGCGATCAGAGCGCAGTGGTCGCACCAGAACTTGTCGGCCAGATCCATCACATCCAGGAGCTTGGCCTCGCGCTCCTCCAGCAAGGCCTGGATGTCGTTCCACAGGAAAACCATGTGGTCCAGTTTGTCTTGTACCGCTGGAACAGAGAAGAACAAATAGGATCAAATGGTCATTGCAAGAAAAAATGCTTAAAAACAAAATATGTTTCAGACCTTTGGCGGATATGTCCTTGTTGGCACCTTCAGATCGTGCAATCATCTCCTCGCCACGTTGCTTCAGGGTCTCGTAGGAAGGCTGCAGCTTCTCCAAATCCACAGAGACAGCCTTGTTTTCACTAATCTGCTCCTTGATCTTGTCCACTTCCACCGAGATAGACGGAGGCTGACGAAGGCGCTCGGCGATCCGTCCCAAGGACTCCAACATCGGGTCGATCTTGTCATGGAACTTACAGAAGGCAGAAAGAAAAACCTCTGTTATAGATGCTAAATACCAGGTCAGTGTTTAAGTGACTGTGTTTAAAAAAGTTCACTAAGAATTAATAATGTTACTTATAATGATAATACTTTAGCACATAGTGAAAAACTTTACATTTGAGTTCATTGATAGAAAATGTTTTCTGTATGGAAATAATTGTTACTATTCACTTTTAATTAAGGACTTAAATGTTGTCTCCAACTCCCAAAATGTGTTAATTAATTAAGTATATTATTACAAAAATGTTCTATTAATACAAAGTAAACTACATGATTCAAGGCAAAGTATATTTTGTTGTAACTGCTGTACACTGGAATGCAGAATGTTTCAGATGATCAACCATAATAATCTTATGATCCAATCTTCCTGCAGCCTGGAAATCTAAACCAACCGTAGCTGTCACAAAAGATTTAGCCCTGCAGGTCGGTCTAGCCATGCTCCATCGTAGCCTTAGTGGGTCTACCACTGGCTTGGCTAAGTGTAGGTCCGGCCAATCACAGTGGACTATGTTAGTAGAGCGATGTCGGGTGGGCTTAATGCCATTATGGCAAAGCTGCGACGAAGAAATCCTACAAAGAGGGTGTTGGCCCAGGAACGGCGTTGGCATCAACTTTGAACAATTTAGACTTTTTTAGGGCTTTTCTTTGAGGCATGAGCAGACAGACTTAAAGGGACTTTACGGAGTTTAGAATTTTTATGCTCGTGATTGCCCCCTCAGGCCAAAAGCTTAACGGCAGCTTCAATGGTAGGCTCGTGCACGAGGCACGCATGCTGTACAAGCACACTCCTTAACGAAAATAACAGCTGAGACAATCCTTTGTGTGTGTGTGTGTGTGTGTGTGTGCGTGCGTGCGTGCGTGCGTGCGTGCGTGCGTGTGTGTGTGTGTGTGTGGCCCGGAGGACAGAGGACAGGAGAACACGCAGCTAATTAATTAAATAATTTGGTTCTGTACCTTTCTCTTCAGCACAGCCGACAAAGGTTTAAGATGGGTCAGTCCTCATGCTCAGATCATTCCCTTCCCTTGCTTGAAAAATTGTTCCAAAATGAAAGTTGAACCCACATCTTTTTTATCTGTGAATTCAATGCCGTTCGGCGAGTCTCAAATAAAAATTTGGGCATATTACTGTAAAAAAAAATATACCATTGATGTAAAAATTAAACTCTAACTAAACCATATTCAAATCCAGATTCGAACCCACGTCTTCTGCACAAGAGTCCAACGTCTTACTAGGTGAGCTAAAGCACCAGCGACGTCTTTGGTATCTGTAATATTTATATCCTTGATTACAGCTGAAACAACGTTCAAAGAACGGTTCGGAGCGAAAATGGCTATTTTGTTGCTAATTTGCAGGAAAAATCTAGAAGAAAGTAGCTAAGGTCCTCAGAAATGTAGCTAGGTTCATCACTAGGCGTTAGGAACAGTGACAAAGTGGAACTGCCTCGCTCTCTGCTGCTAAAGCTACGGATAGCAAATACTACGGGTGATGCCTGAGAGTGAACGCGCATGAAGCAGCCTGCTCGACCCGAGTAACTTTCTTTTTCTGTGATTTTACAGACAAACAGACAATCACAGTAAAAATGCCAAGGCTCATTCTACAGGACCAGAGCATTGCAGGAGAATGTATGAAGAAGAAATGTATTATTTCTATACATGTTTTGGCTGTCAAACTTCCATAATGCCCCTTTAAGTCCTTTATTTTCTAAAAGAAAGTATTTGCTGCTTCTTCTTCGATGGTGTACGACGGATCGTCCTGTTGACTGACTTTAGTCACTTTGAGAACTTCACATTGTTGGTTCCTCTGATTGGTCAGAGCGCTGTCCAATGGCATGCAAAGACAGTTCGAAAGACAAGCGACGATTTCGCCCCTACATCTAAGCTTTGTCTACGGGCCGTGGCCAGACTATATATTTACAAAAACAGGATTACTCGCCAGACTAATCCTTATGTGCTTCATGGAAGGAATTAAACATCAGAGTTTCTTGTGGTGAGCTAATGACCAGGTGCTGCTCACCTGTGTGGATTTGGAGATCGCTTCATCCAGTGTGGCAGCTCTCTGTTTGACATCGGCCTTGAGTTTAGTGTACAGCTGGTCAGCAGATGTGTACTTCTCTCTGATCGGCGCTCCCTCCGCTGGGCTTAGTTCAACTAGCTGTGGCCCCGTTTTGTTCATCTTGTCGATGTGAGGTTTGTGCTCAGCAATCAGCTCTCGCATTTGCTGGAGAGGACATCAGCCAAGACCTGGTTAAATCTTTCTGTATTTGCGTGAAAAAGTCTACGAGTCATGTTGGCTCCATACCCTGAGCTCCTCTTGCTGCTGCCTGAGAGTTTCATACTCGATGGCGGGTGGGGGGAGCAGGTCGAAGGTGCTTAACGTCTCCTGCAGCCACGGCCACATCTCCTCAAAAGTCTCCCAGAACTGTGTGACGAGAGACTGGGCTCGCTCCAGCTGCAGGCAGCGCTCTGAATTCAGCTGACTGACGACACCATACTTCTCCAAAAGAGCCTGGGTTTTGGTCTGATTTAAAAAGAACAAGAAGAAGCTTAAGCATAAGTGCATTACCCTGATATTTATTAAACGGGCTGAATCTTTTTCACCTTCATAGCTTCTTTCTCCTCTGGGTTTTTGCTGTTCATGATGGCTTTTCCCGTTTTTACGATCTCATCTACAACATCTTTGTGCTTCATGATGTCCATGGAGAAAATCTGTGAAATCAGTGAAGTGAGTTTAGCAGGAAATCACAAAAACAAATGTTTGCTTCATTTTAAACAAAAACCTGCCTGTTTATACAAAGTACCACCGGCTTACCTTCTGTGCTTGGAGCTGAGCGGTCGTTTGCTCCTGCTCCAGTCTAATCTCACCCGCCGACAGCAACTTTCTCTCAGCATGACTCAGCCAGGAGAGTTCAGTGTCTGCAGCCTGCTCAAACTGGAAGAAAACATGAAATAAACAAAAATGTCAATGAAAAGAAGAAACAGATGAAAAAGGGAGTTCATTTCACTAACTCGTGTGGTTTACCTGCTGTGATTTGATGATGTCAGCGTTGATCTGGTCGACACGATGAGTGATGGTGTCGCAGACGGCCCGGTACCGCTCATTATCATCAGTCACAAGCTTATCTAAACTCTCCCGAGTGTGCCAGGGGATCAGGTCCAGGAGTGAGCCACTCAGATCATTCAGCTTGTCCAATGCTAGCTTCTGCTCTTTAGCCTCTTTCAGCAAAACCTGAACAAAATTAATAAAAGAAATGAAAATTAGGTGAACTGCAGTGATGATTAGGGTTAGGGTGGTAAAAGACTTACTTTCTGCCTGTTTTGTGACTGAGTCAGCTGCTCGCCTGCAGGCTCTTGATTAACAAACACTTTGATCTCTGCCTCGGTTTTTTCTAACCAGCAGCTGAGGTCCTCGTGAGTATCCTGCAACTTATTGGACAGGTTCAACACTTGATCCAGGGTCTTCAAAACACCGTCACTCATAGAGTTGATCTCAGCATACTTTGATTTTATTCCATCCAGTTTGCCTTGAATAATGACAACTTCATCATCTAGAAATGGACAATAAAAACATGATGAATAAATTGCGTAGAATTTTGATTTTTACACCCAAAGCAAACCACGTCACTTGATTTATTGGCCTATATCATCCAAAACCCACTTCTTTGAGCTTTTGACCATGCTTTATTGTTATTTCCTTATCAAAAACACCTCCAAAGTGGTTTCTGGCTTCACACATGTATTTTCCTGTCTCGCTGCAGATCCTGTGCAGGTCCATCACCATTTCAGACAGATTACTTGGGGCAGCAGTAGCTCAGGAGGTAGAGAGGGTTGTCCAGTAATCGGAAGGTTGCAGTTTCAAGCAGGCAGAGAACTCTGCTGTTGTGTCCTTGGGCAAGACACTTAACCCACACTGCCTGCTGGTGGTGATCGGAGGGACCGGTGGCACCCATGCTCGGCAGCCCCAGGGCAGCTGTGGCTACATTGCAGCTCATCACCATCAGTGTGTGAATGTGTGTGTGAATGGATGAATGATACATTGTAGTGTAAAGCGCTTTGGAGTCCTCTGTAGAGTAAAACAAAAATGCTAACCGCTAAGCGCTAGCTGAAAGTTTACAATACCGAGTTAGCAATTATAAAGTTGGGTGAATAATGTGGTAAAAACATTCTTGTTTGAAGCTGCAATAACAAATTTGGAAAACTTTTTTCATGCATCTTAACAACGTTCTGACGTAAAACTATAAGTATATTCCAAACATCTATCCATTTTCAGCCGCCTATCTAGGGTCGGGTCGCGGGGGCAGTAGCCCAAACCGAGAAGCCTAGACTCCCCTCTCCCCAGCTACTTGGGCCAACTCTTCCGGGGGAATCCCAAGATGTTCCCTGGCCAGCCGAAAGACATAGTCCATCCAGCGTGTCACGGGTCTTCCCTTGGGTCTCCTTCCAGTTGGATGTGCCTGGAAAACCTCACCAGGGAGGCATCCAAGAGGCATCCTGACCAGATGCCCGAGCCACCTCAACTGGCTCCTCTCGATGTGGATGAGCAGCGGGTCTACTCTGAGCCTCTCCCTGATGACTGCGCTTCTGACCCTATCTCTAAGGGAAAGCCCAGCCACACTGAGGATAAAACTAATTTTGGCCGTTTGTACCCGCGATCTCATTCTTTTGGTCACTACCCAAAGCTCGTGAACATAGGTGAGAGTAGGAATGATTCTTAAACTCCTCTACTTGAAGCAGGACCTCATCCCTGACCTGGAGAAGGCACATAAATATATTGTAGAAATAATGAAAAAATAACGTCATTACACGTTTTTCTCGCATTTATCTAAAAATGTCCACCAAGGACACGTTTCAGACCAAAAGCAACTACTGGGCTATCCCATTGTCGGTCTTGCTGAATCACTGCACTCCCCCTGGATCCTCCATTCATTATGCACTGGTGTATTTTGCAGTACAGCACCACTGGTGTGAGATGTTCACAGCTCATTACTGTCAGAAAAGGAAAAACAGCCAGTTGCTACCACTTCAACTTTAGGACCAACTACCATTGTCCCAAAAAGAAAAACAACATTTGAAGCCATTGACAGCAAAAGACGTTTGGTCATAGAAAATGACGCGTGGTGTTTAGCACTCTCTAGTTTCCTCTTGCAGCATGGGTTTCTGGTTCCATGTTTGTTTTCAGAAATGTGCTAAAGAAGACCGGAGCACACGGTGGCAGGATTTAGTTTTATTTCCTGATAATTGGACATCTCATCTCTGATTGGTTAACAGCATTGCAACTCTACCACTGACTTTGTTTGCAACGTTAATGTTTTATCTCCAATAATCCCACACGCCTGAAGGAGTTCTGCTGTGTAGTGGAATTGCTAATGCAAAAGGTTAGCTTCTACTAGCTGAGATGTTCTCCATTACCTGAAGTAAGCCAAGTTAGGTGAGTCCATGAATGGTAATTTTCAATTATCTGAAATCTAACGAGTGTTACCGTGTCTTTTTTCTATGGAGGCCTGATGCACGAAATAGGGGTAGAAAACCATTTTCATGTTTAGGCCTGAAATGTATGTGCCTTTTCACTTTGTGTTGATGCAGGCAGCAGGCTGTGTCTTTGTTCACATATTTGCTGCTGCACTGTGCAAAATACTAGAGTGTACTATTAGGGGGACAATAGAAAACACGGATACAATCAAAACAAGCATGGCATCAATAGAAGAGATCAGTAACTGGTTACTTTTGCAATCACTGCAGAAAAAAAAGACAGCAGCAATTTCACAGATATTATGAAAGACCTCTAAACCAAAGACGAAGTGACCACGGTGTGTGTGTCTAGTTCGTTTTGTCAACTCCACCTACTGGTCTCTTGTATATTGCAGTGTGTAAAGGCATTGTGTTAATTTCAAAGGACGCGCGCACAAACTATGCTTCAAATTTAGCCTAGTGAACTAGACCAAGTTCTTGCTTTGCAAAGTTTGGTCTAGGCATGCTCCACTGGAACCTCTGCAGCCCCAACAGCATTCTGGCTGGCCAATCACAGCTCTCTAGAGGGGTTTCAAACACATAAAGAGCTGTGATTGGTCCATAATGGTGGGCCAATCATAGTGCTCTATCTGCTTAGTGAACAAATCACAGAGCTTTATCCGCTTTGTGGGCCAATCAGGGCACTCTATATGCCTGGTGGGTGGGATGACGCAACAGAATGAAACAAGAGTATGTCACATTCATTGTCCAGTAGCATGTGGAGATCATTTCAAAGACAACGGTAGAACCCGCCCCACAACCGAGAGCCGTCAATGGAGCGTTGCCAGACTAAATAATACATTTATTTAGTCTGGCTTGCCAGGCTACTTCACATTAGGATTGGGCAATAAATCGAAGATTTATCGTTATCGAAACTTCTGACTCTTACCGAGAAAAATTTCCCCATGTCAATAAATTTGATAATAAAGAAATTAAAAGATGTGGGTAGGTAGGCAAAGTTCATGTCCCTTCAAGAACCTGTACCATCTTGAGTCCTGTAAAAGTGGGACTCAACGCAATAATGTGACAGCCCCATCTAGTGGACAACCTTTGTTTCCGCGCATACCTGTAGTTATCGCCCATTTATCGTTATCGAGGTGAAATCCTCTATATATCGTGATTTTAGGCCATATCGCCCAGCCCTACTTGAAATTAACACAAGGCTGCCATTTTAAGCGTGTACTCGTCGTTAAACAGCAAGTGTATACCAGGCCTAAGTCTGCATGCTAAACTCAAAGTTACTGTTCTTATTTCAAAATGAACAAGTCCAAAACAGTTTCTCAGCGAACTTGGTCGTTCAGAAAACAAACAAACAACAACAACCATACCTGTTGTTTGCTTCAACAGCTCCATCCCATTAGAGATGGCTCGGTCAACATTCTTCTTCCTCACCTCAATATCACTTTGCAACATCTGAAAAGTAAAGTCTTCGGAAGTCAGTGAAATGTTTAAGATGTGCTCCAGTGTCAAAGAGCAGATCAGGAGAAAGGACTTAACAATGAATGATGCTACTATTTCTAATAAACAATAATAATAACGGTTGGCCTGTAGAGGAGTGTGTACCCGCTGCTCTGCCAGCTGCTTTTCTAGAACATCTGTTTTGTAGTCGTCCACAGACACTTGACTCAGCCTGGAGTGCACCTCGCTGAGCCAGTTCAGGAGGGCCACCTCGTCCTCTCCAAACAGCTGGGCGTTTGCCAGCGCCTGCTGCAGCATGTCAGCTTTCCTCCTACATCGCTCCTGCAGCTCTATGTAACTGGTCTGAGTGGTGTCCAGTCTGGATTGAACAAACACCTTGTCTTCCACCGAGCTCACCATTTTGAGCATTTGGCCCAGACTGACGGCCTGAAACAGGTCTTTACTCTGGTTTAGAATCTCCTCCTCTAAGGCCTGACCCCGTGGAATGGAAACATGGACAAAAAAATGGAAAACACACATAAAACAAAAAATACATGGAAATTAAATTAAACCAAAAGGAAAACTAAATGAAGGACACAAGTTTACCCGAAATCAATGGATAATTTGTGATGTAAAATAAAAAGGATGTGAAAGCACGAGGGACTCGTGTACAAACACAGATAACCTTGTGCTGAGAGATCTGATCCTCCAACTTGGACGTCTCGGTGCCGATTGGCTCGGAGTTGGACAGATGTTTCTCTGTGGCTGTAAGCCATTCGCTCAGTGGTTCCAGAGTCTCATGAAACTGTTGAGTGACCACTAAGATGCTCTCCAGTTGCTTGTGCCTGAAACATGTAAAAACATATACATTGACTGGCCACTTTATTAGGGTAACACAAATTACTAATCAGTCAATCACATGGTGGCAACTCAATGCATTTAGGCATGTTGGCATGGTCAAGATGATCCGCTGCAGTTCAAACTCAGCTTCAGAATAAGGAAGAAAGGTGATTTAAGTGACTTTGAATGGGGCATGGTTGTTGATGCCAGACAGGCTGGTCTTAGTATTTCAGAAACTGCTGATCTTCTGGGATTGCCACGCATAACTATCTCTAGGGTTTACAGAGTGTGGTCTGAAAAAGGGAAAACATCCAGCGAGCGGTAGTTCTGTGGGCGAAAATGCCTTGCTGATGCCAGAGGTCAGAGGAGAATGTCCAGACTGGTTTTACCTGATAGAAAGGCAACAGTAACTCAAACAACCACTTGTTAAAGTCCCATAGTTGTCACACACACTGGTGGTGTATGGTGAAAATTGTCCTCCACATGCCCAAGGGGAGTGGTGAGCTGCAGACATGGCAGCACTGGGGAACTATTTGGTGGTTTAACCCCCTAATCCAACCCCTTAAAGCTGAGTGTCAAGCAGGGAGGCATTGGGTCCCATTTTTAAAGACATTGGTATGACCCAACTGGGACTTCAAGCCCTAATCTCCCAGTCTCAGGGCGGACACTCTACCACTAGGCTACTGAGCTGGTCAAACAACTGTTACAACCAAGGTATGCAGAAGAGCATCTCTGAATGCACAACTCATCGAACCTTGAGAGAGATGGAATACAGCAGCAGAAGGCCACACCTAGAGCTGCTCCTGTCAGCAAAGAACAGGAAACTGAGGCTACAATTCACACAGGCTCACCTAAATTGGAGAAATGTTGCCTGGTCTGATGAGCCTCAATTTCTGCTAAAACATCTGGATGATAGGGTCAGAATTTGGCATCAACAGCATGAAAGCATGGATCCATCCTGCCTTGTATCAACGGTTCAGGCTGGTGGTGGTGGTATTATGGTATAGGGAACATTTTCTTGGCACACTTTGGACTCTTTAGAACTAATTGATCATTGTTGCAACGCCATACCCTACAGTACCTGAGTATCGTTGCTGACCATTGTAGCGTCATGAATGTCCTGTTTATGACCTAAAGGCAAGCCCCCACAATGCGGCTCAAATTGAGGCTAACCCGGAAGTACCAAAAATTGCAGTTCCACCCTCATCCGCTGGGGGCTGGTGTCACAAGCGAGCAAATCCTCATTGACTCCCATGTTAAAAATACCAATTTCACAGCAGAAATAAACATGTTTACAGCCTGGTTCCAAAACATGTTTTTGGTTTAAATGATCTAGTTTACACTCATGACAACTCTGAGGGGGGTGAATTTTTTTCTCACTCTTCTGTTTAAGTGTATGAAAAGCCTAAAATTCTGTATAATTAATGAGCATCAGGCCCACGTGACCACAGAGCTAGCTCCGGGGAAAGGCCTCAGTAGAGCCTCGGTCTGGCTTGGAAACTGTTCCGGGATTTTGAGTCTCTGTGTTTGTGCGTTCTTTTTGGATCTTTTTTTGTGTGCAATTGTTGGACAAAATGGCTTGCTGTGGCATTAATTGCACTAATAGAGCGTCCAAGGAGTCTCCACTTCATTTTTTTCGGTAAGTAAAATTATATTTATGTATATTAGGTCACTGCCGAGCTGAGCTTAGATGTTAACATGTACCGTTTAACCATGAAATTTAAATGTAATAGGGTAAAACCCAGTGCATTTAACATAATGCTGCACTTTAGAAAATGGGTTGGAACATAACATGTTGGTGGAGCTGGGTTCCGACTATCGGCTTGTGGAGCTCTCAGGAGACCGATGTTTTCCACCCGTTTCTCCCCTCCCCGCAGCTCGGCGCATCTCTGTCTGATCGCGGCTTCTGTCTGCTGCACGGCTGCCGGCTTTCAGCAGCTTTCAGGAGACCTCTGTGTTCCACCCGGTTTTACCCAGCGGTCAGCCCAGCTTATCTCTGACTCAGAAGCTATGGTGTTGTGCACAGTTAACTCCGGTTGTAGCTAGGTTGCTACCTCCGTTAGCTTAGCTCCCACCTCCGTGTTAGCTTTGGGTTAGCTTCAGGTTAGCTTGTAGCTAGTTCGACCGGGTGTCGTCAGTTGATCCCAGCCTTACAGCCCCACCCTCAGCTCCACCTCTCTTCCCTTTTGTGGAATTGTCTGGGCTTGACGGAACCTGTGACACGGTCAAAATGGCGGTGGTGGCCACCTCCCATTTAGCCTCAAAAACGTGTTATTGGAGTCTATGGAAATGAATTGTCCAGTCGATGCCTAAAGGTCATGATCTGCTGCGTCTGCTCGAGCAGAGACATAAAGTCACTGACAGCCTAATCTACATGAGATAGTGGCCAAGGTCTTTCATGCACTCTGCTCACTGAACTGCTTCACCTTTGTTACCAAGACGAAGACTAAGAACTATTTTGATAAATACATAATCAACAACTTTGTTAATTACCAATAATAATGTGAGCCCAATGTTCAATCATTCTGTGAAATGACAATGTTATTACTTGATATTATAATCCTGTGATCAGTAGTATTTTACAAGTTATTATAATCTTGGACATTTGCACTAGACACCAATGACACGTAATGCTAAAGCCACACGACACATTTCCTTTTGTCTGACCCAATCAGAACCTTCGTTTCTGGCTATGCGTGGTTATCCGTGGTGTTTGTATTAACCCTCTTTTTGCATGTCAAATTCTGATTTGCCAGTAAACCAAAATATGACAATTATAAAAACTATCCCACGCCACCTTTTTAGTTCAAGCGTTCTAGAGAAGTCTCAGACAGGCCATCCGGACTTCCCCTTCAGCCAAAAAGAACCTCGACAAGCTGGATAAAATCTGTTGCAAGTTACACCTGACCGCAACGGTTCCTTCAGAATAAAAGCTGAACCTCATGACCGCTTCAAGGTCTCGGAGACGCCAGTGATAATCTGTCGTGACTTGGAAGCATTCCAAGACTAGTTTGGTCGGCACAGCCGCTTTTCTACTGGCTTCGGTACCGAGGAGGGTCTACGAGGACCTCGGCATTCTGGATCTGACGGAGGCTTCCCCTGGGTATGTAGACCGACAGATGGCGTTTCATGTGTTATAAATCTCCTACTAAAGTTTAGAGCGAAACATTCACTCCCACTCAGAACTACTGGTTCTCCGGATCCGCTGGTTCTGAATAACGTTCCACACACACACCATCATCATTCATTTCACGTCTCACTCCACCTTAATTCCATCAGTACACAGAGTGTTTAAGTTAGTCTTGTTTAAATTGTGTAGAAATAAATTTCTTAACTATTTTAAACCTGACTCTCTCTCTTTCCTTGAAGTTAATACGAAGTGTCGCTTAATCCCTGCAATAAAAAGTTTCGATCTTCTGGTTAAAATAGTCAAAGATCCATCAGATTGATATTTCATATTTCTATGGAATCTCACATTTTATGGTTCATAAGTACGATGTAAACGACCCATTCTTTACACCATGTCCATCCCTTTATGACCACTGTATACCCATCTTCTGATGGCTACTTCCAGCAGGATAATGCGCCATGTCATAAAGCTCAAATCATCTCAGACTGGTCTCTTGAACATGCCATTGAGTTCACTGTACTCAAATGGCCTCCAAATTCATCAGATCTCGACATATAGTGTACCTTTGGGATGTGGTGCAACTGCATGATGCTATCATGTCAATATGGACTAAAATCTCTGAGGAATGTTTCCAGTACCTTGTTGAATCTATGCCATAAAGGATTAAGGCAGTTCTGAAGGCAAAAGGGGGTCCAACCTGGTACTAGCAAGGTGTACCCAATAAAGTGGCGAGTGAGTGTAAATGAAGAAGGAATAAAAGGGTGTACAGCAATCCGTTTTAACTGGAATTAAGTTGAATGAGATCAGAAAGAATTGAATGTTTAAAGAAGTTGGATAATTTTAGAAAGTTTTAAACTTTCCCAAATGAAATCAGAAACACAAACACCATCTCCACAGACCTGTTTTCAGCTTTCTTGAGCAGAGCATCCCACCTCTGCCCTAGGCATTCAATCTCTTTTGCAACCTTTTCCTTATCCACTAATTCTGCCAGGTCCGAAACCTTCCCTCCCTCGCTCTTTATCAGCTCCACGGTCGGCTTTCGGTCATCCAGCAGCCTCTGTAGGAGCTGTCAAAAGCAGACAAAGCACGAGAGTTATTGAGCTTTGTTTCATGGAAAAACTGTCAATCTTGTAACCTCCAAATAAATAAAGAGCTTTATGTGACATGCTCATGGTCAACAATGGATGTCAGTTAAATAAGATGAATGACAAACTAAATGTTTGTGTTTTTAAAAAGATTTGGTTCATTGTGATGAAGACTTACTTTCTGTTCTTGTATCTGTGCCTTCACCACTTTAAACTCAGCAGAGGGAGGTTTCTGATTGGCTACAAGCTCCTCTGTGTCAGTTAACCAGCTGAGGAGGGACTCCAGAGCATCCTGAAACCTCCCACAATGCAACAGGGCTTTGTGCAGCTGTGCTGAACGCTCCGCAATCTGCAGACCACAGTTACAGAGTGTATCACACCAAATCAAGCAATAAAAGGAGTTTTTAATAGAATAACGTAAATGTAAATATGAATTTAAACCTGATTTTTACCTTTTTATTTAAAGTATTCCACTCTGAGTTGATGACGTCGAGGTCATCTTCAAGTTTTTTGGTGCTGGTTCCTTTAGCAGCGTTCTGGATCAGGCCCTGCCCGAGCGAGTTGATGTCATGAAACTGGGTCTGCAATGGATCGATGTCTTCTTTTTGGAATGTCTGAAAACAAAACAAAATTAAAAAATTATACCATTTAAATGTCACAATGAAATCATTTATACTAGACTTAATCAAGGTTAAAGTAGGCCTACACTGGTTATTTCAATACATTTGATGTGGTCTCTGAGTCTGAATGAATGCCTTGTAAATCCTTCTCTGGGAAAAAAAAAAGCTACTTCTGTTTCAGGACCCTGAAGTTAGACGAAGGAGTGTGTGTGTGTGTGTGTGTGGGGGGGGGGGGGGGGGGGGGGGGGGGCAGAAAACAGCAAGTTCTTGACTCTTAGACCCAATTCCAGTCCTCGCACTTCCACTTTTGCCTCATACTTCGTCTCCTGGAGAGTGTTGCAAAGCAATTCCCCACCATGACAACAGAGGGCGTAGCGCTGTTCTGTGGTATCCTGTCATGTATCCGGTCCAAGATGGTGTGTTTATATTGTGTTTTTTTGTATATAAGACTTTTTAACACAGGCAAATTTGTCTCTCATTCTCTTCCACCTCTTCATGTGCTCGCCACCTCTAAACCCACGTTTCCTGTTATTTCCGCCCACAAATAAAACGCTTGCCGCGTAACTTTTCACTCCTCCAGTCACGGGAGAATTAAACGTTCATATTTTTAGAGTTTTTTTGCAAGGTATTCTTCAAGCTTCTCCATGTTTGCCGCTAGTTATCCTCGGCTCTCTTTATGTTTTTGAGGGCGAAATGGCTGCGGTGTAGATGACAGCGGTGCCCTGACCAATCACAAGCTTGCGTTCTCCGTCTCGACGGATGGATGTTTAGAAAAGAGAGCTTGACTCCGTCCGTCCTTGCGGGGCTCTCCAGCAGGCCCGCGAGGACGAATAATGGCATTGCGTGTCTCCGCACTGACGCAGACGGAGAAGCATGAATCAGCCTTTACTGTGCACCTCGTCTAAGTGCACTTCACAAAAGGGCGCAGTGCAGGTATTAGGATTGGGCCTCCACTCATCATTTTTCATAATGTTCAATCATCTGGTCTCTGATTGGCTAACAGCAGCAAGACTCTTCCATTGCCTTCATTCAATCTGCAAGGTTGATTTTTTTTATCTCCACAAATAACACAATCCTGAACAAGTTCCGTCTTGTTGTGCAGCTGCTAATTCTAATGGTTAGCTTCTACTAGCCAAGATGTGCTCTGCTCTCTCCCGGCAGCAAAAATCATCTCTACCTTCCCCGTCGCAAGCCTAGATCGGTAAGTCTATGAGTACTAATTTATAGTGTGACGTAGATCTGCGTGGCTTTCCGACCCGCACATTTCCCCATCAATGTCTTTTCGGCGGCTTTAACAGGAAACGGGGTGGAAGACTATTTTCACATTCAGCCTGCTTGTGAAACTCAGCATGACCTATGGTAATTCTAAAAGAACAAGCATGCTACATTTCTCAGTGAACCTCACTTTCAAACCTAAAAGTGGTGCGTTCTTGTACTCCCCACTAGAAGCTGCTGACTATCTGACTGACTCACTAAAACCCAGCCATGACAGACTTCCAGGCTGAGATGAATCTAATTTCCCCATCACATAATCAGATATGTAAGAATCCAGTATCCAGGAAAAGAACCATGTAAAGAGATTTATCAACCGCGGTAACATGTGCTGGAACAGCTCATAAAAGAAAACAGAGAATTGAAAGGTGAAGCTATTTTGGGGCACCTGTGAGGAGAAATACCCCACGGGGTCAATTTCGGGGCACGCAGCAATGGCATTCAGTAAAGCCTCGATCTCATGCTCCCCTGCGTGCTGGAATGTGTGTAAACTTTTAGGGAGACAGGCCTCCAGCGACTGCAGGAACTCCTCCAGCTCTTCCATGTTGTAGTCAGACACTCCTTGTTGCATAGTATGTGGATTTGATTGCTTGCAGCCTTCTGAGGGTAGAGGTCCAGAGTTTCTGTACATCTCAGGTTGCGTCACCACCACACTAACCAGCTCACAGTCATCCTGAGAGGAGCCGTCTTCAAGCAGCTCAGCTGTGGATAGCTCATCGTAGTCCATTAACGTCCGGGAACGGCAGCCAGTACTGTCGTTTCGATTTCTGGAGGTTGACCCTGAAGATGACCTCCCTGTGGAGAGTTTATACCCCCCATTGCTCAGAGTATCCTTTTCATTAAACTTCACCACACAAGATTCTTTCAGTCGTGGCTCCTGAATCAGGCTGCTACTGTGGTAAAGAGATCGGTTGGCTTTTGAATGGGAGGACGGAAACTCCTCCTGTCCTGAGCTGAGCGAACGTCCGGTTTTCAGGTCTCCGGATTTATGCATCGCCTCTGAGGACGAGAAACTCCTTTTACCAGGGCCCGATCTTTTGTGGGACCTGTGTGCTTGTCGTTCCCTCTCCACAGAGGGACTGTACAGACCCGAATCCTCCTCCGAAGTGAGTGAGCTGGTCGTACTCTGTTCTGTCCTGCCGTTCAAAGCCGGTCTCTCTACAGACAAAGTCCCGCTGCGGCTGGCATACTCGCCGAGATTATTGGGTGCAAAATTCCTCCATGACCTGCGGTGATAAGGATGCTCCTTCTTCTCTCCTCCCTGAAGACGTGACTTTGGCAGAACCGTGTCGCTCATCATGTTCCCGTTGAGTTTGAGTCCATCAAAGACTGCACGCTCATCCAGCATGGCAGGTTTTCTGGTACGGAGTTCGAAAGAACTAGAAGCTGAGAGGCCTCCGTTTCCACACAGGCTGCTGAAGTCTAAGGTGCGATGCGTGTAGGGTAAGGTGCCCGCGAAGCGTTGGGAAGACAGGCTGCCCTTAGATCCTGAGTCGATCTGCTCATTGAGTCGTACAGTGTCATAAATTGATCTCTGGGGGACGTAGCAGTCATCGATGTTCATGTCCTCCTCCTCCTCCCCCTTCCCAACACAGGAAGGGTTTTGTCTGAGACAATCTGGTCTGCTCAGCGGTTTGCCCATGATGAAACGGCCGTCAAAGCTCACCACCAGAATAAAAACAAATGGTAAAGATGCATTGAAGTCCTTAGAGATCCAGCACGAGTTGGTTTAGTGCAAAATGCTATTGGTCAACTTAAATGAGCAGTAACGTTGTGCTAAATAATGTTTCTGCTGTCTTGAATGAGACATTAACAAACAAATACAATGCATTTCCTCATATTAAAAAAATAAATGTAACAATCGCTTGTAGGTAAATAGTTCATTAGGAAAACATCCAACCATGTTTCTAAAAATAAGTTCTCCAAATTAGGGATTAAAGTCCTGTCTTTCAGAAGAGTCACCTCTTCCAGAATCCTCTCCAGGCTTTTCCCGAAATATAAATCCTTTTCCTTTTGTAAAAGTGCTCCTTTGTCCTCATGAATCCTCATGAAAGTCTTAAAACTATCCGCACACAAATCCAGCACAGTCTAGTGAAGAACGCAGGCAGCTCTGAGGGGAGCTGGTACTCTTAGATAAACAAAAAAATAAAAAAAAAAACAGGCTGCCCTTCCTCTCGCATCGCTCTCCTCGCACTGACAGACGCCCTCCTGGCAGAAGGTTTAAAGCCCCGCCCCCTGCTCATTATTCAGACAACATCTGCCACAACTCCATTTGTGCTCAGAGCTGCTCCGGCACCAGTTGATTGGTGGACACATGACCCTTTTCTAATTCTCTCCCATTTCTCTTCGACCCGTGTGACTTCACGTCTAAGCCACCCTCTGCATCCTGACAGTCACTCACTCTCCTTCGTTTTCAGCAACTAAGGGAATGGATGGGGAGGGGAAGCAGTGAGCGCACACACACAACCACACATACAAGCACACGCACGCATGCACACACACACACAAAAGACCAGCAGGCAGCCGCAGCCCTCTATGATGACATCACAATGTGCTGAAACAGATACACGTTTTTCCTTTTTTCTCTCGTTGCTCTCCAGGTTCTTTTGTGAACAGTCGCCGAGGACCCTGCAGATATTCCTAATTACCATGGAATGCTGAGGGAGGCACAAGTCTCAGGTAATTTAACACCAACAACTCTGCCAAGTGCACTGTGGGCTTTTAAAGCCCAGTGATGAGAACAAACGATGACAGGACTTTATTTCCCTGATTTTAAAGGCTTGACTAGAAGTTCATCAGTGTTTTTGATCAGCTTTGCAAACATAAATAAGAAGGCTGCTGGCAAATCAAAACCACTAATTTAATGCAGTTTAATACATTTAAGGGACCATTGATGTCACACTTATAAGTTTTATTTAGGCCGGTTACAAAAAAATCTTTGTTTCTAATAAAGAAATACTATTTTGGGGACATAATCACTCATCTTTATCCTTTTAAAACATCCAATTTAGGAATCAATGAACCCTAACCCTTAACAAAAGCAGAAAAATAAATCCATCCAGACTGAGAAAAGCAAATTTATCAGTCATTATTAATCTTTTAATTTAATCTTCTCGTTTTATCAGTTTAAACAGTCTTGTTCACATGGTTACCAAAACACAGCAGTGCTTGTTGCTGTGTGCATCAGTTAATAAGAGATAAGGACAACATTTCATCATAGATTTTTAAAACCCAATGTAGCCTGTGTTTGAAGCCAGGACTCTTAAGTGAAATCAAAAAATTGCTTCATAAAACTGTTTTGTAAAACACGATTTGGCCTAATTGTTCTCAGCACCTCCAAATCCGAGGCCATCGTTCTCGACTGGAAAAGGGTGGACTGCCGAATCCGGGTCGAGAGAGGGGTCCTGAATCAAGTGGAGGAGTTTAAGTATCTTGGGGTCTTGTTCAAGAGGGAGGGAAGAAGGGAGCGGAAGAGGCGGATTGGGGCAGCATCTGTAGTGATGCGGACGCTGAACCGTCTGTCGTGGTGTGAAGCAGGAGCTGAGCCAGTAGGGAAGGCTCTCGATTTACTGGTCGATCTCTGTCCCAGCCTGGTCATGAGCTTTGGGTAAGGATCGTGGATACAAGCGACCGGAATGACTTTCTTCCGGAGGGTGGCCGGGCTCAGCCATACTTCGAGTAGAGCCGCTGCTCCTCCGCATCGTGAGGATCCAGCTGAGGTG